ATACATGAAAAGGATGATTTTATTTCATATAGAGCATAAAAATATAATAATAAGTGTTCCGTAAAATTTATTTTATAAATGAAAAAATTATAATATTATTAGAAAATAAATTAAAGATAATTTCAGAGCTTAAAAATATAATAAATTTATAAATTGAATAAATTAAATATTTTTTAAATTTCATCAAGCTTCCTCCATCTTTGACGATCCCTTTCCTTCCCTCTCTCTATCTCTGTTTCTATTAAGCGAACCTTAAATAATTTTCTTCTTTGCTATAATTTGGTGCTAATTGAAAGCAGCCTAGACTTTTAAGGTAGAAAATACCTTTCTGTAACGAATCTCGTAATTACGCTTGGAGAATGTTTCACTGAATTCTTCTTATTTATTTAATAAATTGGGAAAATTTTGTGAAGCATATTTTTATATTAGAGTAATAAATTTATATCATACAATTTAAAAAAAAAAGAAGCCTAAAATTTTTTATTGCTTTTTTATTTTTTTTTTTTTCTTGTAAATTTAATAGAACAATAGAGAAAAATAATTTATATGGCCCATGACATGTAGTAGGATAAAGGCTTATTATTATTATTTTGATTTTTTAATGTGTAAAGTTTTATATATATATGGTAATCTCAAAGGTTCACTATAGAAAAATCATCTATTACTGTCGGATTATCTGTCAGATGTATATGTCTATAATAGTTCGGGGGATTGTGGTGATAGATTATACGCTGAAAATTCTGGCTCAACACATCCGCCGAAAATACCGGTGGTTATAAGATCGGAATTTGTCCAAAGATAATGATGCACATCCATCATTTTTTTAGGCGGAAAATGTGCCGAAAAAGCTTTACCTTCGCTTTCAGAAATTCGCTGGAAAAGCAAAATTTTCATCGGATTTCACTTATTACCGACAAATTTTGTCCGCCAATAATAAGTCATTTTCCTGTAGTGGTTTTAATCATGAGCGGAACTAGAAAGAGCTCAAGATGGGCAATTGCACATCTTGTAATTTTTTTCATTAGTAAATTAAGCATTTTAATTAATTTGCACCGGCTCAATAAATGCAATTGCTCAAAATTCTTTAAAAAAAAAATTAGGTACTACATCACCCTAAGATTATGCATATCCAAATCCTATTTTGCCCACTATTATAAGAAAGGTTGGTTACGCACAAGATTTTGATATTTTAAGGTCTGCTTGGAATGACAGTTATTTTTTTGTAAATATGATTGTAAAGTTGTACGAATAAAGTAATTTTTTAAGCTGTTATAGAAAATAACTTTCTACCACAAAATTTTTTTTAAAGGAAAAAAAAGGCGCTGCCAAATATAAATTATGGTTACAGTCTAAAAAGCAAAACAAAGCTTTAGTTTCAATCTATTTTTAAAATTTAAACAAAAATAATTTATTTCCGAAGTATAAAATCATAAATATAATATATTTAAATAAATCTCAGACAATTTTTTTAAATTTTTTTTATTGTTAATGAACTTAAATTCTTTTACAATCTCGATTATTTTTCCATCAATTTTTTGGATTCTACAATTTTTCAAATTTAAATTCTAACACTAAAACTACTCATGATATCATAAATATTTTTTTTTTTTAAAATAGGACTAACACTAATTAAGTTATATTTATTTTGTACGAACAAATAATATATGATTATATATTTTTTATTATTTTTTGGCAAAAAATTGGTAACGGGATTTACACGATGGGGCAAATGTGTATTATACTGGAATAGAAATGATTCGCATACATTTATAAAATAATATTTCTTCAGCTCTTTAGGCAAGTTGCACAGTACAGCAAGAGCAATATTAATTACAGGTGAAAACGTGTATGTTGTTATTGTTTCATTATCACTGTCCATTTAGCCTAAATATTATATGAAATATAAGATTTTTAATTCCTGTTTTAGTACCTAATTAGCCTGTTAATTATTTGGTTCATCTTCTTCTAGAGCAGTTGGGTTTGCAGTTTGTTTTTTCTCTAACCTTCTTGCATTATATGCCACCTAATAGCTATTTTATTAGTCGGATTATTCCTATTTATTTAGATTTTTGTACTACTTCTTGTTAAGTGAGGATTTTGATATCTGTTGGTTGGGAGCTTTGACTATCAATCGAGACGTATAGAGTTTGAAGTTTACGTATGTGATGTATGTGTGAGTTTGCCATTACTGATCAAAAATTGCACATGTTATCAATAGATTTTTCTGGCGGTCTATTTTCTGGCGGATTATGACGAAATATGGCTTTTTTTTTTGCATGTTTTTTGGCAGCTATTTAGCTACCTTTCCGGCGGCTTTTTCTTGTTACATTTTAAATTTAAAAAAATGTAATATTTGTAACACTTTTGTCCTTCCATCAAACTTGTTGGGACATTGAAGCATACTCATTTCGAATCCAACAATGTGCGGGCAGCGCAGCTCATTACCGCCGGAAATTCGTCCAATTTCGCTGGAAAAAGCCGTCAGTAATGACGGATTTTTCTATAATGTGTCTTAATTGGCCTAAAATGTCCTCACAAAAATATTTAAAATGTGCATAAAATAATGAGAAAGGAAATAGATTCATATATTTGATTGAAAAAAAGAAATTTTTGATGCAATTTTGAGGTCTTAAGGTGAAAAATAATTAGCTTAGAAAGTTGAGAAATTGATTTTTGGATAATTTGAAGGTTGCTTTTAATAAAGTTGTAAGGAAGACAGCACGATTCGGTGAGGGATTTGGCTTTGAAAGAGCCTCACAAATATTTTTTTTTGTTAAAAAATAGGTTAGCGGGGAATGTAGATCAATGATAAAGGAGATCGCACTTGATTTATTTGCTTTTGAGGATAAAAAATCTCTTATGAGGATAAAGCACTATGATTAATTACACCTCCAAAGTGATATCTTTGGATATTCTCAATAAAATATGTTAGTTTTCATTCTTGAATTGGCATTAAGATGGGGCTCTACCATAACCCTAGCCAATGAAGATTTAAGCTTGAAGGGTTCAATCAAGCAAGATAATGTGCCGGTTGGAAATGAATTAGCGGCTTCTCCTATTAAATCGTTATCTGAAGATGGATGCGTTAATAATATGGTTGATTCTCCTCTGAATACTCATCTTACTAATTATTTAAATAGTTTGGATAGAGATCGTAATAGATTGGATAATCCTGATCCTATTATTGATAAGTCTGATAAGCATTTAATCTTTTCTTCTAATGATACTTCAACGTTGGTTGATGGTTGTGGTGTTGCGGGTAATTTACTGACTTTTACCTCTCAATCTATGATTGATATTCTGGATAATGCTATTATGAGGTTTGTGGTGCCCACAGGGTGGCTTTGGATGAGTCTCCTTCGGCTGCTTTTTTAGAACATGTTGTGTTGCATAATTATGTGGATGTGAATGATAAAGTGCATTTTATTGATGTCCAGATTTTTCTTGTTTCTTGTGATGCTTTGCAAGCTCAATTGACTTTGAATTCTAAGAATACTTTTGTGGATCAATTTGATTGGCAGCATGAATGTCATTTTTTTGCTACCTGGGAGGAGGAGTTTCATTTCTTGTATGGCTTGAATGTGGTTCACATTGCTGATGAAACCTTTTTTAAGGGTGTCGGTAAATGGAAGATGAAAAAATCTATTAAAAAAAGTATTTTGTCTTCCTGCTATTTGGTTTGGTTCTTGGTCTTTCCAAGCCTTTTCCCTTTGGGGTTATTTTGGGTTGTCTTTGCTTATTTTGTTATGTTCTTATTCTTTT